CAGACTACTTGTGAACTATGACTTTTTCCGAATGCAAAATTTAGTGTTAGAGACCACAGCTAGTCACCGTCGTTCGTTTTTTAAAACCACTTGAAGGTCACAGCAACTCTGAGCGTAATCGTGACACATACGAGTGAACAGAAAACTATCCAACTGGAAAACACCCGGTTGCGTGGTTTGTGATAATTACCAAATAATCTTTTGGAAAATGAGATGCAACAATCGGAATTACCTGGAGGAGGAGCAATATCTGGTTGCAGATGCAAGTAGCCAGTAAGAGCTTGCTGGAGACTGGGATCTGAACGTGAGTCGTAGACTACCGCATGCGCGTTGCCGAACCGCGCGTCGTTCATCATGGTCGGATTGTAGATACGCAGTCGACAGGTCAGGTTAGACGAAGCGAATAGTTCCACTTTGTTCGGGTCGGTAACCGGAAGAATTTTTAGCTTTACGTTGAGAAGAAAAGGTAGGGGGAGGGAGGGAGGAAGTGAATAGCATAAACAACGATACACGCAGGATATATGGACTGTATTGACTGTTTCCGTTCAAACACAATGAGCAGTGGGGGGAAATGGCTGATTTATGCAGTGGCCAGGTAACGTGGATTCAATTTTGCCGAAAAGGATAAAATTATGTTACATAAATATATATATATATGCATATATTGTTTGCAGTACTCATCATCCAGGCTAGGCTCCGTCGGATGAGGTTAAAGACAAAGGGAGATATTTTCTTTAAAAGCCTAATTTAATCTTTCCAGTGTCAGCTTGGCCAACCATAACACGACGGGGCAGTCGTTGAACCTGCATATGCAGCACATGCTTTAGTCAGAACGAGATGGTGGCACTCAGAGAACGACCCAGATTGCCTAAAACGAATCGCATCGTTTCTGATTCGCTATTGCCAATTTATTTTGGCGTTGCAATGAAGGTAACGGCGGTCGGATAAACCCAATTCCTGCATGTATTCTGCGTGAACAAGCCAGATCCCGAAGTCGTAGAGTAAGACTGCGCGTCTGATGGTACTGTAGACTCAGTCTTTCAATGAAAAATCGAGATTACGGTCGGGGAATTTCAGCAATTTCATTTCAAACGCGTTTAGTCGTTGTTCAACCGATACATTCATACTTTATATTCCGACATAGCATAACACCACACAACGATATGTTGCATCAAATCAATAATGCTGCGAACGAAAACCGTTGGTCAGGATGAAAATACACATAGATATAGTGAGTAATCCATTTCATGGCGGCTGTTTCACGAAAGTGGATGAGCCGAGTTTGTGAATACTTTGAACAGTAGTAACAGTAGTAAGCTACTCGCAGAGTGAGGTCCGGTCTGTCTCCCAGAGTGCCGTATACGGACCGGGAACGAAGGAACCTTATGTTTTCGCCTATGGTGATTAGCCGGACGCTCGCCACTTCACATTAGCGACAGTACCAGTGCAGAAAGGTGGTTCTGGGGTGGTATAATATATAGATGAGGATCAGGTTTGAGTAGAACATGCCCAAATCGTTTTTGACGATTTTGATTTTCTTCGAAAGTCGATCTGATCACAACCAGAATGATCTGTGGTTATAAGGAGTCGAATAGTTCACACCAGCAGCAGCAGTCTTCAACCCCTATCGGTGAAGTTCCATAAGTGTCCAGAACAACTGCTGGGAAAACTCACAGTTCGATAGTCAAAACTGAATTAGCTCCCACAGCGCTGATATTGCTACAATGGACGAAAGGTCTTTCTCTCTGGTGTCATTAATACGCACGCGGATCATCTTTGTTGTCCTTGTCTTGACCGTAGGACAATTATGGTAGAGTCAAGTCAAATCAAAGATTAAGGCTCCAAATTGGGGCAAATTTTGAGCAGTTTCGAACAACAGGCACAGGGAGAAAAAGCACTAAGAGATGCCAAAACAAAATGACGGAATGAAAAGAAAAACAACGGTAACACAATCGGTAATCCGGTGCATTGAAATGCTCGGACATAACAAAATCAACCAAACAAGTCTTGGGAATACCAGTGGAAAAGAGAAGAATTTCGCTAGATCTGGAAATGAGCATATTGCTTCTTTTGGGACCAAGCACTGGAGGACAGCACAACCAACAGGGAAGAATGTAGACTATCACACGTTTCGCGATTACATATAGAAGAAGTAGCAAGCTTTCCAAGTCTGTAAGCGTAGAAAGACCGTCTTAGAACTCGTGTGTGTTAATGTTGTTGTGGCGTTGGCACCATGATTGTGCTCAAGCCGGTGTTTTATATATA